TAGAAGAAGAGAAAAGAGAAGATTTTTAACGGTTTTTTCGATATATCTCGAAAAGTAACAAAGCAATCGATACTTTCAAAAAATCAGTCGATAGATCTTTTTAAAACCTACAACTTTCTCATTTAAAATTTTTCAATCCGTGCTATATTTTTTTAGTTATTTTAGAAAAACCGTTTTTTTCAACTTTGCGATTTTTTTTAACCATGTTCGCCATATTGGATCGAGTTTAAAGAACAAGAAACTCAATTTAAAATTTAATTTTCTATACGGTCATATTTTTTTTGTCCAGGTAATAATTTCTGCAAATTTAACATTAATCCGTGACAGAATGCTTGGACTAACTGAGTAATGCATACTAATTCGTGATTGTCGACCGTCCTTCCATAAACCCATACTGTTCAGGAAGTATAATATTTTTTAATTGAAAAGAGGGGACACTATGTATAGCAGTTTCAAAAACCTTACTGAAGTTACACAGTATTGCAATAGGTATTTCTCGGAAACTATAAGGATTTAAAAAAAATTCTTTTTACGATATTAACTCCATTTTTCATAGCGCATCTATTCCCAATTTTTTTTTTTTTTTGATAAATTGTGAATCATCCTGTATATTTTCCTTTTATTTGCAATTTTTAGAATTTATTGCCGATTTTACGGTAGATAAGATATAAAATTGTCCTTTATTTTTTGCCCGTGTTCTGATTTTGTTCTGCTCTGTCCTGAAAATAAAAAATTAAAAGTTACAACCGTAATCGCCAAATTTTGGTGTTGGGGTTAAGTTGAAGTAAACTGAAACACAGTTCATGCTAAACTCTATTATTCTAATAATTCATTATCACGTAAAATTGCTGATGATGAAAGCGCATTGCCATTTTATAGGTCAACCGGATGTAAGTCTTTGACCGCAATATTATTCTAATTGCAAAGTTGCAAGTAAAGGTTATAATGGAATAATTGAACTTTTTCTCAGTGTATACATTTATTACAAGATACCTTCCTTTTGCAGGAGATCTGTCAAAACTACATCAGGATCATGGCGAAGACCACTGCGGGCCGGTTATTGCTGTGCGGCACCAACGCCTTTAAGCCCATTTGCAGAGAATACACCATCCTTAATAAAAATTACACCGCGGAGAAGGAAAAACCCGGCCAGGCGGTCTGTCCGTATGATCCTCATCATAACTCAACGGCGATTTATGTCGGTGAGTATATTGCAAAATCAATTTTGTTTATGGGCCGCTTTGATTTAGTGGAAAATATCTTATACCCGTGACGTTAATATATGCCGGTGATTGATAGTGCCTTTTACTAGGCGCGGATAGGTACATGCATACGTATATTGCCTTTATCGGGAAAGTTACCGGTTAATAAAAACTCGAGGGAAGGCCGCCCCGACAAGAAACGCCCCCTCCCGACGTTTTCTCAATAAACTTAAATTGCGTATCGAAAGAGAACCGCAACAATATTCAAATTTGCCCGTTATAATTTAGACATGCCATAAAAACTCAACAATGTTTCTTAGAAATCTATTTAATATTAACAAAAAAGTACTAGAATTCCGCAAAATGTTGTTAAAGGGGTATTATGGTCCAGAGACATACATTTTGGGCGTTTTGTCGATCTAGATAAGAAAAACTAAAAAATATTTTTACTATTAATCTTTGCAACATATTTATTGATATTTTAAAATATACAAAAAAATTTTGGAAAAAAAACTGAAAATGTAAGGAAGTTAGTATAGTTGTAAGCTCGTAAAGTAAAAAAAGAGGTGTCTGGTTGGCACGATTGCAACCCTTCTGGTGATCTCAAACAAAATTAAAAAATATTCTTAGTTAGTAAGAATGTCGTTATAGCCTCCACCTAAGAGAAATCGGAAAAAAATGTTTTCGCAAAATGGTGGCTGTCTGAAAAAGGCATTTATCGACACTTTTTGTCATAAGGCCACTCCTTTTTATATTATTTGTAAATGACTTATCTCTAACATTAAAGTCAAATCATATTATGTTTGCCGACGACTTGAAATTATTCTTGATTATATCATCTGTGGCTGATTGTTTGTTATTGCAAGACCTTGTGGATCGTGTTTGTATATGGTGTACTGATAATTATTTACCTGTTAACAAAAATAAATGCAAAGTGTGTACGTTTACTTTTAAAAATCAGCCTCTCATATTTGATTATAATATAGGTACCTTTAATTCGTTTTCAGAACATTAAGGATCTTGGTGTAATGTTTGACAGCAGATTGTCTTTTGCTGATCATATTAATTCAAGTATTAAATCCGCTTATAGTATGATAGGCTTTGTTATAAGAAATACAAAATCTTTTATCGATATAGGTGCATTGAAGAGTCTATACTATTCACTCGTACGTTCGAAACTCGAATATTGTAGCCTTATTTGGCACCCATGTTATCAAATATACAGTAACCACTTGGAAAGAATACAGCGGCGTTTTCTCAAATTCCTGTCTTTTCGTGTTGACAATTTTTATCCTGACAGGGGATACAACCACCAATTACTGTTACAAAGATTCAGTATGCAGTCGCTGAATACTAGAAGGGTGGTTGCAAGTTTATCTTTTTTATATAAATTGTTTCATGGCATGGTTGATTC